CTAACTGATCTGCATTTTTTTCAAAAAGGCTGGCTTGTGATTTATGCTATCCTTTTAAAATATAAGAAAATAAAATACAAGCGAAAAGGAGCGGTAGAGTTCTTTCAGGTCTAGATTTCCTCAGCTGGGGTGTCCCTTATAACTCACATGCAAATGCTGTTTATTAATCTTTGGGATATTTTGAAATGTATCGCTTTTGGGAAGGCTATTTAAAATTTAATTTCTGGGTGTTTTCTAAAAATGGCAGTAGCTATTTATATAACAACTTTCGGTCCCAGATGTAAGTTTATGTTGACTTGCAGCATGGTGTGAACATTCCAGAGGTTGAGTGTAAATTCCAGTGAGATGTGGGTTTTCTTTCTTTCTTTCTTTCTTTCTTTCTTTCTTTCTTTCTTTCTTTCTTTCTTTCACACACAGCACTTAAATGTAGGTCAGTAAGTAATGTAGGTGATAAAGGGAGTGCAGATGTTTCTCTGACATTTAATAGCAGGAGGAAAAAAAAACCCCAAATAAAAGGCTTCATGTGTAGCAGCTGACACCAAGGAACAAATCTGTAATCTACACTCAGAAGTGTTTAGAAAACGTTTTCTTTTGGAGGAGTGTGTGTGTGTGTGTCAGTGTTTCACCTGAGACTTCAATCTGGCCAACAAACCTCCCCCTCCATTGTAACATTCTTGAACAAGCTGTGTCTGATCTAATCTTATGTACTTTGGCCACATCTCCTGGAAAAGCAAACATTTCCAAAGCAATTGAAATATTGAGTGCGCACTGTATAACAGTTGAAAAGGATTAGGCAGTTGAGTTCACAAAGGGAAGTTTGTGAAGTTTAGCTTATATTTGGTCAGTGTGTCAGGAAAAGGGAGCCTTGTCATTGTAGTGGCTTGCTAATAATGCCAGCACCCACCAGCCACAATACTGGGCAGTGAATGTGTTCTCTCTCTCTCTCTCTCTCACTCACTCACTCATAATGTGTCAGATAACTTAAATTTGACTGCTCAAGGTGGCCATAACTGGGTAATAAAAACCAGCCAGAAATAAGAGAATGGCATGATAATGACAAGGTTTTAAAACAGACGTCAGAGGACAGTGCCACAGAAAATGTAAACATCCAGTATCTCAGCACCCTTCGTCCCAACCTGACAAAAGCTTCTGAGAAGCTTGGCTACACCAAAACATAGCAATCAATCAAGAGGAAACAAACCAAATGACACTCCCTTGAGAAAGAATTCCAGCGCTGGGGAGTGGTTTCACAAATGCCACAGGACATCATCATCATCTTGCAACTACAGAGCTGGAAGGGACCTTATGGATCATCAAGTCCAGCCCGGTCAAGAAGGCACAGTAGGGAATCGAACTCCCAACCTCTGGCTTCACAGCCAGAGACCTAAACCACGGACGTCTCAGACCAATTTTTCATCGACCCATCAGAGATATGCAGTGTTTTTGATCAGCCAGGTGGTCTCTCTCCTGAATATGATGCAGAGTTTATCCGTGACTTTTCAGCGTCAAGAGGCTCAGAATGGAGGCTCGTCTTGAAAGAAAGCTACCATGGATTTGCATAATATTTGCATAGACAGGCTGGAGGCAGCTAGAGCAGGACACACGCGCCTTGTACCTTTGACTCTGCGCTGTGTCAGAAAACAGTCTGAAATAATTGTAATGACATGTGTTGGGAAGCGCGAGAAATCCCTCACCAGCTGAGTCTTCCAGCAACGAGCTTTTGTATTGCTTAATACTCAGCAGTGAAAATAATACAGTAGTTAAACAGAAAAAAACAGGTGTTTCGAACTATTTTATTCTTTTTATTTAAAGGACACCTGGACATCCAGTGTTAAAATTAATTAGCAAAGTTTAAAAGGACTCGCAATTAATGTTTAAAAAATACTGACATTGAAGGTTTTCGCTCTTTTTCTGGGCATCAGTGTGGTGTAGTACATAACGTTGGACTTGGGCTCACGAGACGCAATTCGAATCCCTACTCAGCTGTGGAAACTCAAAAGGGGGCGGCTAGCAACAGCGCACTGCTTGTACACATTTCACATACTTTGAAAACTCTATGAGAGTTTCCATAAGTTAACAGTGACCTGATTTTACATAGCAATCACTTCTGGCCTGCTGGTGTGGCCACGCACTGTGAAAGGTTCAAAAGCCTTCTTGTTATTTTTTAAAAGGATATTACCTATCCTTGCTTTGGAACCCTTGTTTTGTAAGCAGCACCACAAGGAGGCAGAGATGCAACTAGCAATTTTGGCATTTGGGGAGTTCACACTGAAAAAAAGAGAGAAAAGGAGACTGTGACACCCTACCCCCCCCCCCAAAAAAAAGAAAGAGGAGGTTTATGCTTTCAAATAAAAGGAAAGTTGAATACACGATGTTGGCCTTTTTTCCTTAACATTCCTCGATAAATGTTAGACAAACCTAGATTTTGGTGTCCTGGAGCAAAGTCTCATTTGTTATGGAACACATTTGAAGCACCAAAATCTAGTTGGTGAATCTGTTCTTTTGCGTGGTTTTGAATTTTGTCTTTCCTCCAGCTTTCTCTTCAGTTTTATTCCTCCCTTTTTGTCCTGGAAGGTGGTTGTGTAGGGCGACATTTAGAAATTCCGAAGCCGGCCTGGGCACCAAGCCAAAGGTAAACCACTAGCCATTTATGGTGACCTGCCAAGTGCCTTTGTGTTTGTAATCTCCAGGCTGAATTTGACCCCATGTTTGCAGACATGTTTCTTTTCAGAGTGAGTCAGTGGGTGCACCCTGCATGTACTCTTTTGGAGCAGGGTGGTGCTGGCTGAACAGGTGTCGTTTGGAGGTGCAATGATGTCACTTGATTTCTCACATCCAAATGTCACATCAGAGTTCAAGGGACTGTATTTGGTCCAGTTCTTTCAATTTCCACATTTTTCCAGTATTGCGAAGTGGCTTAATAAGTGAGCCACTTCAGGGCATGGCAAATAGAACACTTTATCTGTTTCTTGGTGGAAGGGCATGGGAAGTGAAATACACTGCAACCATTATTAAAAATATATATAAATAAAAATATTTTCTGTTTCTGATCTTAAATGGTCAGTAGAGAAACTGCCAGCAACTGAAAACACAGCAGTGGATTTGAATGCTGTTAGTTTCTCAACCAGCCCTTATAAGATGAGGTACAGGAAAGACTTTTTAAAAATTCTGACAGTATTTTTATAACCATAAGCGATGGTTTAATTTGACCCGATTTTTGCAGACACGTTTCTTTTCAGTATCTGAAAGTAAGACACTGGATGTACTCTTAATCCACTCTTTTGGAGCAAGAAAAAAAATTAACTTCCTCTGCCTCTCTGCCGATGAGCAGAGGAAGTGATCAATCTGCCAATATCCTAAAGTGCCTTGCTTATTAAGCCGCTTCACAATTTTGGCAAATTTTAACTGGAGGGCTTACTTTGGATTGGCTCCAGGGGTCACATGCGCTGAAATCAATCCAAACCAGAGCGAAAGTAGAAGCTTCTGGCAGGGGCTCAGAAAAGTGTGGACGTGGGCTGGTTTGCTCTAACAAAGGCATTGTCTGGGTTGCCCTGATTAAAAGTGAACCTGCCCATTCGTGCAGAGGACTAAATAGGGAGTTAAATGCCAGTGTAATCAGCTTCAAAGAAACTTTGCACTTCCTGGCAATTTTTCCATTCATGGCTTGCAAAGTACTATGTTGGGGGGGGGGAAGGAAGAACATCTAGCATTTCTTTTATTCATGCTTCATAAAGAAAGGCCATTTTGGCCCTCAGGAAAGCATCAAAATCCTGAAGTTTATGAAGTCCCACAAGGATCTCCGATTGTACAAAGATGCTCGAAAGGATCACAATTTGAAATGCATGTTGTCAAAACTAGAGAGAAATGGGAGAGGGGGAAAAAGGTTGAAATGCATGTTGTCAAAACTAGAGAGAGATGGGAGAGGGGGGAAAAAGGTAAAATGTTGTGGCACTTGGAAGACAGATTTATTCCACTAGTTTATTTACAGTCCTTAGACCAGTCACGGGAAAAAGGTAAAATGTTGTGGCACTTGTGAACTGTTGTGGTGTCAGCGCCTCATCAATTTGACCAATGCTTTGGCTGCTTTCTGTTTTGGTATTCATATTATTTGTATTTATTTGTGTACATTTTATTATCTGCACTTTTTTTTAGTTGCAAGCTTCAGTGAATGTTCTGTTTGGAAGATGTCAGGTGAAAAAGAAACACCCCGAATTTAATGTAATATATTACATTAAATTCTGGGTGTTTCTTTTTTCATATATATATTAACAAACACGGGTCTGCTGGATTTCACTGGCAATCCTGTGAGGAAGGCGTTCGTCCTTGTGAGAAGAGCGATATGATTGGCTGGCGCCTGGACGACGGCAGGTCCCTCGCACAATTTCCAACCAATCGCGTGTCCTCTGTCACAACACGACACCTCGGTGAGCCAAGCAACCCCGTGACTTGTGAACGTGTGGAAAGAGAACGTGCGTGTTCATCACTTGGGGTATAACTTTGGGACTTAGGGAAGGAAAAGATCCCAATCTGGGGACAGTAGCTAGAAAAAAGGAAACATTCCAATTTTAATTAGCCACAAAGCACTAGGAAAGGGTTGGTTGTTTCTGCGCATGCGCCAGTGTCCCCTTGACTATGAGTCACTCGGTTCCCCAGAGGGGGAGTTTAAAAAAAAAAGGAAACGAGGAGGCTTGGGCGCATGCGTGAAGCCCTTTACACCCTCAAGACCCCTTCAAGGACTGTTCCGAGCCGCCCTATACCGCTTTCCAGTTCCGATTGGTCATTTTTTTTAATATCTGGAATGCGGCGCTCTGATTAGTTTTGCTGCCCTGTCAATCAAAAGTATAGGTATCCACCTAATAACATTGCGCGGATTGGTTGACAGTGCCCTTCGTACTTCCTCGTCCTCTGGTTGGGCCTTGGCTCCCTTAGGTTCCGCCCCTCGCCCTATCAGCTCGCGGGCTCGGGGGTCTGACAGTGTGAAGAACGTAAGAGGCCGGGCCGCTCCCCTACTGTTAAATAAAATATAGTCCCCTTTTTTTTTGACGGGCGGGGGGTTTGTCGGAAAACAGGTAAATCAAGAAGCCCCTGAGAAAATGCGATAGGCTCTTAAGTCTTCATCCACGGCCGGTCCCGGAAAAAGGGGGTGGCCGTGGCGGGATCGGTTGCTGAGGGAGAGGAGCGGAAGAATACGAGAGTGGAGCTGGGTGGTGAGACATCAGCCCCCCCTCCCCTCCTGGACTGGCTGGGAGGGCAGGCAGGCCTCGCGGAAAGAGTTCCGGCCTCGCCCGGGCCGTGTCGCCTAAAAATAGCGACCCGTGGGTATCCGTGCGCCGGTGTCAGTGTCTCTTGAGGAGCCTCAGTTTGGGAGGCGGCGGCGGCGGGAGGAGTAGCAGCTGCGAAGGCGGAGGAGGCCGGCCGGCCCGGTGAGTGAGGGAGTGAGGGACGGGGCCCGCCTGAGGGGGGGGGTTGCTTTTCGGGGGGTGGGGGTGGAAGAGAGACGAAGGAACACGAGGAAGTGAGGAGTCAACGGAGGAGGAGGAGGAAGGGGGGGTTAGGGTTCCCCCCTCCCCTCTTTCCCCCCTCAGGTTTAAGGAGGTTGGAGTGTGTGTGTGTGTGTATTTATTGAGGAGCCCCCCCCCTTCCTTGGAGGGAAGAGATTCCTCACCCGAACTTCCCAGCCTCAGGAGTTGGGGATTCGGGCTGAGCTCTTGGGCCGCCAAGGGAGAGGAGAAGTTGGCTTGGCGGGTCTTGCCTGCCTTTTGCCTAAAGCGGCCTCTCAGACGTGTGGGTCGGGGTAGACACGTGTAGAGGCATGCGTGTCTGCGAGGCTTCTGGACGTAGACTGTACACCTACATTGGGGGGGGGCTGGTTTTGCTCTCTTTATCTCGGTGGGGGATTTTTGGCTTTACCCGGGGCGGCAAGGGGAGCGATCTGGGTGTAAAAATCCTCGGAGGTTGTGTAGGTGTGCATAGGATACGCACACTTAACCCATACCCTATATCTACACACACACACACACTCTATAAAGATTGGGGAATGGGATGGTGCCCCCCCCCCTTTTTGGTGTTGGGGCAAGAAGAGAAAACAATGGCTGAAGTGGGAATGTGGTGCTTTCCTCCAAGGATTCTGCTTTTCTTTCTCTGTCTTTTACCTTTCTACTTCTTTTCCTCATTACACTGATTGAGGGTTGGGAGGTACTTATTTAGTTATTTATTTGTTAAAGTGTAGGATTTCCTTCTTTCCTGTCCAGAGCAGGACTTGAAAGGCATGTTAAGATCTCAAAAAAAGAGGATGTGTTATCCTCCCCCCCTCCCATCTTTTTCTGTCTCACACTTTTCCTGCTTGGGTTGAGCTTGATTTATTATTATTATTATTATTATTATTATTATTATTATTATTATTATTATTATTATTATGCAAGTATGGAGGGAGAAAAATGTTTATGGAAATGGGACTTGTGTAAGAGAGAATGCATCCTCTCCACGGTGCATCTTGAGGGCAGGAGACATGGGGATAAGGGAGGGGGGGGGAGAGGAAGGAAGGATGTAGGCAGCCTTCTTGTTGACAGAATCGTGTTCCTTCTCACAGGCTGTTAATTCGCTCACATGCTCTCCTGGAGATATCCTTCCTTGCCCTCTTTTTCTTAAGCTTTCCTTTGTAACATGGAGAAGAAGTTACTATACATGAAGGGGGTGAAGTAGGACAGTAAATGCTCTCTCTCTCTCTCTCTTCCTCTTCCCTGGATGCTGAAATTAAGAACAGTGGATCAGAATGTTTAGATGGGAACTAAATGTGCAGATTTTAGTTGCTGAGGAAACCAATAGATTTCTTACATTTCTGGTACCCTCATTTTGTATGTATGAGGCATAGATGGGCTTCTGTAAAACTGGCACAGGAAACATAACGGGTGGAGCAGGGGAAAACGAGGCAGCAAATTAGGAAAGAGATTGAGTTTTATATTCATGTTCGAGGCCTTCAGAAGCTAACTTCATTATTGCTAATGTAACAGAAAAGATGTCTGTCTAATCCCTGATGAGGGAGATCGGTTGCTTTCCCCCCTCTTTAAGTTGTGAGAGTTCTTCTTTACAAATGTCAGGTTTGGGCTGGAAATATTTACTCATATTCTGTGAGATCAATAGAGATACTTGCTCTGGAAAAAAAACTGTAGGGAAGACTACCATGGAAACTGTTTCTCATGTTTGCCAGACAATTTCATGTTTCAGTTTCATTGCAGTAAAATATTTGGTTACTGTTGGCAAAAAGTTGTTGTTTTTAAGAAAGGAAACTATATGTGAGCTGTATTTTGGTAGGCCAAAAAAAAGAAAGTTAAAAAGAAGTAGAGAGATGTTTTTTGTTTTTTTTTGTCTTGTGGTGTGAAATATCAGTTTTCAAGGTTCACATTGAGGTTAACTCAGTTTGTGAAGCCAGACTTTTCTAAAGACCATTCCTGTTTACGTAGGCATCCTGATAGAGACAAGGGAACTCAAGTCTTTAGCCATTAGTTGAGTCTTTTACAACATTCTAATGATATGTTAGTAGACATTTTTCTTTTTGTTTGACTGCGTGATCACGGATTATAATGAATCTGCATTACAAACATCTGTGGCCTTGTCATGAATGCTTGTTTAGCCTAGTATATATATTTCTTATGAATATTGGGAACAAGCTGAAGGAAGTAAATAATAGTTTCTGTCCATCCAAAGTAGACTGAGTTCTATGCCACTTTAAAAAACATGTTGTGTTCTAGAAATTTAAAAAGCAAGGGGATGTGATGTATAGCTTCCTAAAAATTCATCAGGAGTTGTGTTAAATACAAAAAATAACTCACAATAAATTCAGGTAAAATGGTCTTCAAGTATTCCAGACTTAGGCTTATTAATAAACCCTCCAAAGGTGGCTTGTTACCTTCCCAGAGACTTCTTAAGAGTATGCTTTTGCTGCTGTAGTGGCAGCTGGTTTTTATTTTTTTTTCTTTTAACGTGAAGCTTAAAGGAACAGCAACACATAATTTAGTGACTAGCTGTAGCTAAAAACACTCTTGTTTATTTTGTGAAAACCAAGCTTTTTGTGTTGGTAGCAATCATGGTTATTTTTTAGGCTAGTTATTAAAGTGTCAGATATTTTTATTTGGTATTTCTAAGCAGGCTAGAATAATCAGATACTCATTTAACACTATGGCTCTGATGCTGAACTTCAGTAATTGGAACACAATTTTGGATTTGGTTTAGTAAATAATTTACAGATAAGATGCTTGCACTGGTTAATAATCTGGGGGGGACATAATGATTTAGAGAGTGATAGGATTGATGTAGATAGATGTAGAGAGCTGTGAAGTAGCATTCATTGCATTTTCGGTACAGAAGAAGATGCTAATAAAGGGAAGATCATCAGGAGGGAAATATAAATAATATAGACGATATATTCTTGAAGGCTTTCACGGCCGGGATCTGATGGTTGTTGTGGGTTCTTTGTGGACTCCAACTACCACCCACAACAAAAAGGAGGCATAATCAAAACTGGTAGACCGTGCAAATCAGAACTGTGAAGCTCAATTTCTCAGCACCGAACTCAACCAGCTGAACCGGGCCCTACAGGCGAATGGCTTATTCCAAGAATGAAATCGAAAGAGCCATCAAACCAAGAAAACAACACCAAACTGAAGAGGAAAAATAGCCACCCACAAATGAAGTATTTCTGCTATACATCAAAGGGGTCATGGACCACATGGGGAAACTTTTGAAAAAACGCCACCTGCAAACAATATTCAGGCCCACCACAAAAATACAACAAATGTTATGGTCAGCAAAGGACAAAAGGGACCCCCTCACCACTGCAGGAGTATACCGGATATCTCGCAGTTGTGGACAGGTATTTATTGGAAGCATTTGACTGTGTGGACCACAGCAAATTATGGCAAGTCCTTAAAGAAATGGGAGTGCCTGACCCACCTTATCTGTCTCCTGAGAAAACTTCATGTGGGACAGGAAGCAACAGTTAGAACTGTATATGGAACAACTGATTAGTTAAAAATTGGGGAAGGAGTATGACAAAGCTGTACATTGTCTCCCTGCTTATTTAACTTATATGCAGAATACATTATGTGAAAGGCTGGACTGGATGAATCCCAAGCTGGAATTAAGATTGCCGGAAGAAATATCAACAACCTCTGATATGCAGATGATAGCACTCTGTTGGCAGAAAGTGAGGAGGAATTAAAGAACCTCATAATGAGGGTGAAAGAGGAGAGCGTCAAAAATGGTCTGAAGCTCAACTCAGAAAAACTAAGATCATGGCCACTGGCTCCATCGCCTCCTGGCAAATAGAACGGGAAGATATGGAGGCAGTGACAGATTTTACTTTCCTGGGCTCCATGATCCCTGCAGATGGTGACAGCAGCCATTAAATTAAAAGATGCCTGCTTCTTGGGAGGAAAGTGATGACAAACCTAGACAACATCTTAAAAAGCAGAGACATCACCTTGCTGACAAAGGTCTGCATAGTCAAAGCTATGGTTTTTCCTGTCGTGATGTATGGAAGTGAGAGCTGGACCATAAAGAAGGCTGACCACCGAAGAATTGATGCTTTTGAATTGTGGTGCTGGAGGAGACTCTTGAGAGTCCCCTGTACTGTAAGGAGATCAAGCCTATCCATTCTGAAGGAGATCAACCATGAGTGCTCATTGGAATGACAAATCCTGAAGCTGAGGCTCCAATACTTTGGCCATCTCATGAGTAGAGAAGATTCCCTGGAAAAGATCCTGATGTTAGGAAAGTGTGAAGGCAAGAGGAAAAGGGGACACCAGAGGACGAGATGGGTGGACAGTGTCATCGAAGCTACCAACATGAATTTGACCCAAATCCGGGAGGCAGTGAAGACAGGAGGGCCTGGCGTGCTCTGGTCCATGGGGTCATGAAGAGTCGGACATGACTAAACAACAACAGTAATATATTGGAACCACAAAATGCAGCATTCACACCAGAATCAAAGAACATGAGAGACACTGCAGAGTAAAACAATCAGAAAAATCTGCAGTAACTGAACATGCCCTAAAACCAGCTGGACATGAAATTCTGTTTCAAAAGACTGAAGTACTGGCCAACTCCAGCAATCTGTTAGACTGCACAGGGAAGCCATTGAAATCCACAAACACCGGCAGAGCTTCAACAAAAAAGAAGAAAGTTTAAACTCAACAAAGCCTGGCTCCCAGCACTGAAAAATACAGCCTGCAAAAGGTCAATAAACTCTACCCAGCCACAAGGGCCAGTGATCACTGCACACAAAAGATCAGCTAACGACACCCATCAATCACAGTGACAGATCATCTCTCCTTATCACAGCAATACACCCACAACAAAAACACGCTGATTACCATAATCACCCATCTCCTGAAGAACAAAAGCTGTTCCCATAGCTATAAATACT